CCCACCTAGTGCCAGCCACTCACCAACGTAGCAAGCGCATGCAAGTAGCATATTCTTGAGTAGGTTGACCCTCGCAAAAGGAGACGTGAAGACATGGTCGAACGCAGGATGCGCAAATGGTTTTCATTGAACATGTTCAAAACGGCATGGGTCAAACCATAACCACTTTGCTGGCAACAACCTGCTGCAGACATCTGCAGACTGTTGTCCTGGAGTGTCAACTGCTGACATGGCCCACTTGTTCACCCAAGGGCCCATCAAAACCGAAAAAACAATTAAAAAAACACAAGCAGAGCGTCATTTGATCAGCTCCACACCTGAAGAGGCCGCCCACAACACACGTGGCATCGCCATGGAGTTTGCAAACTGGGCCGACTGGGGGAATGGCGCGAATGATGCGAACTGGCCCCAGGCAGGATGGCAGAGGAGGGCTGGTGGAAGACACGTGTGGGAGGTGCTTTAATGGTGGGAGTCGCAGCAAGAGTGGATCACACAAAAAGTCAAGATCCTGTAGTGAGAAGGTCGATGGCAAGACGTTTTTATTGAGACTGGCAGGAGTTTTGGGGTGTGTCGACACCTTTGGACGAAGCGGCTTATATAAGAATGCTAGGCTTTGTGAAGTGGGAGGTTAGACACTGAGACAGGTCATTGACTATGAATGAATCCCCTGGACCCGAAACTCGAAGATGCCAAATTAACGCTTCTTCATGATCTTCATGCTTCTTCCACATGCGATGGATTTTCCACGCATGGAAGGGATGTCGTATATCGATGTGCTCTTCCGACAGATGCTGAGGGAAGGCCTGTGCAAGTGGATTGCTTGGATCTTCACCTCACCAGATGCAAATGTTCTCAAGAATTTGCTTTCCACCCTCTCGATGGCTTAGTTGTCCACATCATTTTGTTACCTGGTACCTGCTCAAGGTTTCCAGCGAAAGGCCGCACGGCACGTGCTTCAACGACCGGAACACGAATCGGGATGTTGGGTCAGTTTGAAGGGTACCTTTGGTCACATGCCCCTGTTGGTCACATCTAGCGTGATCAACATCCCCTGAAGGTGTTTTGTTGTCCAGTTTGCAGAAGTCACATGCTCCTGGTTTGAACTGCACCTGTATGGTCAGCTGAATCAGGCACAATGGCAGGGTGACTGGATGCCGCCGATGAACGGCGGCTGGCAGCAAATGCCGCCTCAGCAAGTGCCGCCTCAGCACGTGCCGCCGCACATGGCCCAGCAGTTTGCGGACAGCAGCCCGGCAGATACATAGAGAGAGAGAGAGGGAGAGATATATTATATATAGAGAGAGAGAGGGAGCGAGAGAGAGAGATCTTGAGTGAGATGAAGCGACAAGAGCGCGGGTTAATATTGGTGAGGCACCAAACCTTACGTGGCCATTTGTCCGGAGGATCCTTTAATGCGTCCTTTCATTTGTGTGATGTTTGTGGGGTCATGAGGACCCACATCCATGTGGCAACCTCTCGTGCTGCTAGACAACACCCATACTGATATGTTTGACATGTTGGGTCGTCTAGTATGATGTAAAGCTATAGCCAAATCAGAAAATAGAACTTGCAAAGCACCAGCACCACACGAATCTCCGCCTTTGCAAATCCAATGCTTGCTGGGACGTTGCATTCGTCCTGCAACGTCCACTTGTTTGCGGAGAGGCCCACATGGGCAAACTCCAGCCTCACATTTGTTGTTTTTTGCTGGTATGTTGGATGGTCTTTGCCCTTAGCAAATGTTTGTTGTATCATCTTCATCATCCACTCAAATCATCCCAAACAGTCAGCGGTCAGTGAGCTAACCCTTTTTTTAGTCATTTGTTTGTTAACCTTGGTCATTGGCTCATAGAACTTCATAGATCAAACCTCTAAACTATGAGACTAAAACCAAGTATCAGTATATAGTATCATAGAATTTCACAGATCACTTCAAGTGGCAAACCGCAGCTGCGGTCGCCCCAGGCGCCGGCGATTGGCAGCCGAGCTTTGGAGTCACTCCGCCGCCACCGGCGCAGCGGAGCGCGCCCTTCGCGGAGAGCGGGAGCGCGCCGCCCGGGGGCCCATGAGGGCGGGAGCGTGCCGGGGGAAGGGTGAACAGACTTGGAAGCGGAGGCCATCGCGTTTTTAGGTGGGAGGCCATTGCTTCTAGCTCGGGAGGCCATCACTGTTATATAACAGTTAAATTTTACTGATCGTCCTTCCTACGCCTACACCTGGGAGAAGGTGAGTGTCAGGCGATGTTTGATTGTAGAAATCCACCATGTGCGCCGCTGCGGACGTAACATGTTGGAATCGGGAGGATGCTCTAAAAAACTACCTTGCCCAACTCTGCTACTGGGGACAGAGTACACACACTAATTGACGGTTGTTTTGGCATTGTAGGTGGTGTAGGACCGTAGGACTTGCACCAAAGTCATCACCTTTGCTAGCACACAAAGTCTCCTCCGCCGAGGCCCGCTACTGCACCGGCCACGCTTCCGGGCGTGGCGCAGAGCGGAGCGCAGGTGCCGCCACAGCGCTTTGTGCCGGGCACACGGAAGCGGAAGCTTTGCGTGCACCATGCTGCGGGGAACTGTCGCTATGGCCACTTGGAATGGGACCAGCCTTTGTGCGATGGACGGTCGACCATTTTGACGGAGCGACATAACAGATGGTCACAGACTAACAGACTAACATAGCCTAACACCACTAACAGCTCCTCCAGCATTTCATGTTTTTCGCTGGCGATGTTCATGTTGGGCGTCGCGTCGCTTCTGCCCCGAAGGGTGGACAAAGGCGAGGCACCGGCGAGGTGCCAGGCACCCAAGGGCAGCCCTTGGCTGGGTCTGTGTGATCCACGAGTGAGTGTGGGCGGCCCATCTGTTTTTTGGGAGTGGCGAATGTATGGGTTTTTTTTGTGCGATGTTCGAGTGCCAGCTGTTTCTCGCTCAGCTATTGCAGGTGTACTTGGTAAAGAAGCGAGCAGTGCCGCGCCATGGCAAGCCCGCTGTTGGCGCGAGACATTGTTTATCGGGATTACCAGACTCTTTTTGGGCAATTGGATACGCTCTTTGTTGTGGTATACTGTTCTTTCTAGGGCCCAGAATTTAGGCTTTTTCTTCTGGCGGTCGTTCAACTAAGGAATGAAGACGACGAAGCTTGTAAGGCCCTCGAGATGCGTGCAATGCAGGGCTCTCGATACCCTTGGCTTCAGAAATTCACGCGCATCTTCATCCGTGCCGGTTTTGAACATTTTCTCACCTTTGATGCAAAGCCACAGCAATATGAGGACTACATCATCCGTGTGGCTGAAGACCGCTCGGCGGGTGGACGCATTGTTGGTGTGGGCTGTGCTGCCTTGAAGACTGCTCGCATGCATTCGCGGATGTGCAAAGTTGCGTACATTTTCGACTTGCGAGTAGATGAAGCGTATCAAGGTTGTGGGCTGGGCAAAGCTTTGACCGAGCAGATTGAGGAGGCTTGCCAATCGAAGGGTGCGCATTTCCTCTACTTAACGGTCAACTCAGACAACACGAAGGCGAAGTCGCTCTATGCCAAGAGGGGCTTTGCCCATGCCAGCCATCGGAGTCCGGCCTTGGCTTTGTTGGCTTTCCCAGATGTGGAGGAGGATGCCGTCTCAGTGGAAGTGCTGGGCAAAGAGGCCGCAATGAAGCTCACCAGCTGTTTCTATGCCTCGGCGGATCTTTGCTTGGAGAGGTTGGAGCAGCTTTTTGACTCGGCTCTCTACGAAGGCACTTTCGTGGCACGAAAGGGGGACAGCATTGCGGGCGTCAGCGCCTGGAACGGAAGCTCCCTCACTGGCTTCAGGATCGAGCGAATCTTCCTGCCAATCACCTGGTGGAGAAGTCCTATGCTGCAGCTCCTGCTGGCTGGTGGTGGGCTTTGGGTGGCTTGGAGGTGGCTCCTGGCCTTGAAGGCGTCAGGGGCAAGCGTGCTGGAAACGCACAGTATGCTCATGACAATTTGGTTTCTCACAATGATCCTCACATGTGGGCAATAGCAACCTGTTTCATTTTGGTATATGGACATTATATTTCATTACTAGTGTCTAGTGTTGTAAGTTGTAACCATAAAAGTTTTTTTTTGGGGGGGAGAACGATATAGACTGGGTTAACTACCGGTGTTTAAACCCCAAGATGTCTAATTATGATTGTCCATGATTTAAACATGTTAAAACCGCCTAAACTAAACCTTCATGATCAATTTCATGCTCAATCCTGGCTGAGGATCAGTGTGACTTTTGGTGGTGCTTGCTTGCTTGCGCGCGCCTGGCCCGTGATCAGTTTTATTGGCAGCAAGCTGGGCTCTGACAATACGAAGATGCGTCACAGGCTCTTTGGCCCCTTTGCTTTTGGGCCGAAAGCAGATCAAGAAGAGCTCATGAGGAAGGTGGTCAGCAGGGCTCACAACGTGGCACGAGAAGCTGGCTATGCCATGTCCATTTGCAATATGGATGCCAGACATCCCCTGAGGGAGTTCTTCCCCAGCAACAAGTTTAGCACGGTTTTCATGTACAAGTCTGTCGAAGACACTGACATGGGACACTTGCCTCCACTGAGCGCAGACAACTTCTTTGACCCCAGAGATTTGTGAGACAATGTGTTCTTGGATCGTTCTGTGAGTTTGGGTCCTTCAACCGGCCGCAGGAAGATCCTGTCTCACATTCTCAGTGGCTGCCTGTGATTGGAGGCTCATCCCTCGATTGAACTCTGCACGTGCACAGAAGAAGTACAAGCAAAACATGAACGTGCAGGTGTACAACAACCCACTGTCCAGTCCAGCTCTATAGGACATGCCCTCCAAAGGACAAAGTGAAAGAGGGCTCACAACGTGCAGAAGCAAGTACTTTCTTGCAGTTGAATCTTCCAACTTTCTGCACTTTTAAGGGCCGTATGTGCATGTCCATGCTGGTTGATTCCAAGGTGTTTGGTGTCCTTTTTGGGAGCGATTTTGTTGTGTTGTCCCGATGAACCGTGGGCTTGCTACCAATGTGTGCATTCCACCGGTCTTGCCGACTTGCCAACACCGGTGGCGGACGTGGATGGTAGCCCTTCTCAGAATTTTTTGAGGCAAGTTCTAAAATGTTGGGCAACTGCACGATAAAGATCATAACTTTTGAGCCAATGAATGCCAGTGGGCACCCCATGGCACCCCATACCCTTCCGTAGAATTGGAACATGCTCATTTGAATGTCCAGTCTCCCTTGCGGTGTCAGTCCAGAGGTTTGGCAAATGCCAGGCTCGACAATGTATCGAACACAAGTGTACTGATGTTGTCATCCCATTCTCCAATCCGAGTGGTGCCTTTTGTTTCTCAAATGCCGACTTCAATACATATAATCAATTTAATACATGCAGGCTTGCAGCCCCACTGAGATGGGCTCTAACATGCTCTAACCACTATAGCACAGCAGTTTTGAAACCTCCTGGCGCTTTGAAACCTCTCTGCCTTTGCCCATTACCACGCATCACCACGCATCACCACGCCCACGCCCATCAGCGCCTTCCTTCGTCGTTCGCATCCCCCGCGGCGGGTCGATGTGCTCCGGCGCCTCAGGTTCCGATTGCAACTTCGCGCATGGCATAGACATTTGGCGAACGAACGGGAGGTCCCGGACGTGTGTGTTACGTATAGTCTACATCCGCACGGGAGGGACCGGAAGGGATGTGTGTTGGGGAAGATTGGAGCGAATCTAGAGTTCTCAGAACCCTCCCTAGGCGGGCTAGAACCATCAGAGAGTCTCAGATTCCCTTTTTGTTTGTACATGTGTGTGTGTTTTGTCATGTTTTACGGTAGTTGAACACTCAAACAAGTCTTTAGAACTTTAGTGCGAACTGGTCCGAAGTCAACGTTTTCAGTGATCAATGGCACCAGGTTGATTGAGGTTGATTCCGGCCTACGAATGCCATGGAGATGTGTTATAGGATACTGTAATGAAATCTGCAGTAGCAAGCAACTAGCTCGCTGTTTTGGTCGTTCGACCTTGGCCATTGGGGAGAACGAGAACCTTAGATTCTGCCAAAGGTGTCCAGAGTTGGATTTTAGAAGCAGGAGAGTCGATACTAGATGTGCTTACGGACACGGTTGCCCCGGTTGCCTAGACTGGCTTGCTACAAGAGCGCCACCACCATATGACCAAGCAGGCGAATCCGATTCTAATCCGGTTTCATTGCTTTGAGGAAGACTTGGCAGAAGATTGTCAAGAGGCAGTGACTCAGAAGCCACAGACGGAGAGGCTGAGAGAGAGAGAGAGAGGGAGAGAGAGGGGAAAAGAAAATGGAAAGGGAGTCAACTGTCAACCAAGCCGTTTGTTTGGAGGTTCGAGCATGTTCGAGCCGTGTTTGGAGGTTCGTAGCTTTGCAACAAGGCTGTGCATGTTTTGCAACGTTTGAGTCCAGCGCCGAGCGCGAAGAAAAGGGCATGTGCCTCTCAAGCTTGCTTGGCCAAGTTTGGAGCATTTTGGATACCATTCTCATAGGCTCAAGAACCACCCTGGAGGCCCGTCAAACGTTCCTGAGACCAAGCGCATCAATAAAAAATTGACATCATTTCGAAGCAAGGGATGGGCATCCCAGCATCTCTAAATCCAGGGATCATCCAATGTGGGAGATGTGTGTGAGATGCAAGGCCCACTCCCAATCGACATCCTCAGATTGTTAGCTGTTAGCTTTTGCATTCAGCAGTCCGATGTCCCATCTCAATGCTCAGCACTGCAACGCTCTCCATCATCATGGATATGAAGAATGATGCCCAGTGGAATGTCATAGAACATCGTTTGCTGATCGAGAGGTTTAGGTGTTGCATATGAATACTGTATACCCCCCTGCAGATTCACAATCCTCCAAATTCACTGGGTTGTAAATGACAATGGTCGAAACCACGGGGGAATTCTGGGTCTTTCCCGGCCCTTTCGGGCGGGGGTGTGTAGACTCACCTCGTTTGAAACCGAGTCGTCACTCCTCACGACGTCCGTCAGGATGGACTTCACTCAGCTCGAAGCAGGTCGTTTGACCAAGAACCTCACAGTGCCCCAAGACCAGGCAGGTCGAAGCGGTCGACCGGCAGACATGGTCGTCTCGGTCCGCGGTCCGGGCGGCGCGGCGGTCAGGGCTTAGGGGCGAAAGAGGTAGCGGGATCCAGTTTGGGACATTTTGGTCAAGCTCCCAGTGTGGAAGACTCAGGGTTTTGCAGGATTCTGAGAGGAAGATCGACTTTTATGATAGAAGTGGGCCATATATAGGATTATAAAAGACTTTCTTTGGAAAGAGCCTGTTTTCTAAATTGGAAAAAGTCAAAAAAAGTCAATCCCAAAAGTCAAAGTCAAAGTCAAATCTACATCTCTGCTCATCTTCACATCCTCACATCTACAGCTCACATCTTCACCTCTCGCTCTTCTTAACTTTCTCTCTTAAGGCCGGGGCAGTGCCGCCGGAGCACAACGAAACGCAACCCTCTGCGGAGATCGTGCGTGTCGAGTGCGCGAAATGCAGGCGAGAGTGCGATTTGTCCCGGTCCGTCGCAACCCTCTGCGGAGATCGTGCGTGTCGAGTGCGCGAAATGCAGGCGAGAGTGCAATTTGTCCCGGTCGCGGGCAACCCTCTGTGGAGATCGTGCGTGTCGAGTGCGCGAAATGCAGGCGAGAGTGCGATTGGGGAGCTGGAAGATGAGAACTGGCGACTTTCTAGTACAACTCTAGTACGCGGAGCAATCTGTGGAGCTTGAAGCTGAGAACTGACGACTTTGTAGTACAACTTTAGTACGCGGAGTATCTGGGGAGCTGGAAGATGAGAACTGGCGACTTTGTAGTACAACTGTAGATAACTGTAGTACTGCGGAGCAATCTGTGGAGCTGGAAGCTGAGAACTGACGACTTTGTAGTACAACTTTAGTACGCGGAGTATCTGGGGAGCTGGAAGATGAGAACTGGCGACTTTCTAGTGCAACTTTAGTACGCGGAGTATTTGGGGAGCTGGAAGATGAGAACTGGCGACTTTGTAGTACAACTTTAGTACGCGGAGCAAGCTGTGGAGTTAGCTGAGAACTGACGACTTTGTAGTACAACTTGAGTACGCGGATGAGTCATCTCTCGCGGCTGCTCTGGCGCCCCTGCAGCTGAGCCATGTCTCCCGACCACCCGGCTCTCTTGAGAGGTTGACAAATTTTAGCTACTTTGCTCACTCATAAGTGGCTGCCACAAAAGAGTCATCGTGACGTTAGTATGTGTGTACTTCACCTTCATGACAAACGATGTTCGCTTGGAATACACGAGTCGCTTGTCATGATCGTGACGTCGTTTACTCTCAGGTCGCCCTGTTCGTGGAAACTTCAGTGTGAAGTGTACGTTCTTCAGTTCTAGTTGAACCTCTTCAGCGTTGTACTTGCACGACTAAGGTTGACGTTGCATTGCCGTTGCATCGACGCATACCTAGACCCTCAAGCAGGCACCAATTTCTGCCTGATCCAAAAAATCAGCCTGAAGCATGGTTGGTCAAAAAAAACAGCCTGCGGGCAGAAATCGCTATTCGGGCGAGATTTTGGCAGATTCAAGGTTTGCTCAAGCAAGGGTGTTAGGCAGTGGATGGCAGTGGCCTGTGACATCCACTTAAGGCGCCATCCACCCTTTGCCTTTGTGTGCAGTGCCTGCTAATGAAGTGGAGAAGTCATCCAGCATGCAACAGTCGTTGCTTGGTTTGCTCAGTTTCGTTGGATTTGATGAGTTTGTTTATTTTGGATCAAGGGTGGCAGCCATTTCCAATAGCACACGCGTACCTTGAGTTCTTTTGAGGGCCCTTTTACCCATGGACCACTTGCGATTCGTATCTGCCGAGACGAAGGCTGCCCTGCAGAGAGAAGGCAAGTCTGAGTTACCACGTCAACACATGTCCCAACTTAAAAGTGACGTTCAATCCTTCAGTTTTTTTTCCTGGGTTCCTCTTCCTGTGTTCCTGGGAGGCCTGCTTGACTTTCCCAAGCCTTGGTGCAACGGAGCGTGTCATTTTCAGCGAATGTGCCGAAGTCGCTCGCCAGGTGAAACATGTGATTCCAGCGCTGCAAGATGCTAAGACTTCCAAGACTCCTCTAACCCCCGAACATGTATTGAAACTTCTTGAACCTGAGGCCTTTTTAACTGATGATCGAGCCAACATCATTCTTGAAAACTATCAGTTGGCTGGGAGTGCGTTCTATTTGGCATCGATTGTGAGGAAGTACCAAGCTCACATGTCTAGCTCCTTGACCAAAAAGCTGTTCCAATGTTGAATGTGGCGCAAGGCTTTGATTTTGGTTGGAATTCAAAAGACCGCCAAGGCACTGCGAGGCCGCTCACTCACTGACGGCAAACCTTAGGTCAAGAGCCGGGTATAGGGAAGGGATGATCCGATTGCAGCGATCACTACAGAAATTGGGTATAGAAAAAAAGCCTGGCGGCGGAATGTTGGTGGCGGCTTTCTTTGGTTTTTCTCATACTGCCCAACTGCACCGGCCCAACGCAGGTGATGATGGGGCCACACCTCCAGCAGCCCGAGAGCTTTGACAATCCACTAGTCGTGCCCCACCGCTTGTTTACGACCGTTTGAAGGGAGATTGAATCACCTTTTAGGGTCTACGTACTGGAACCATTGGTGCTGAGGATGCACTCAAACAGTTTCACAGCCTCAAACTCAAGAGCTTTCCCGTTTAGTGTTTTTGGCTTAACCAGTTTCCAACATTGGGGTCGTGCTGTTGAACACATGGCGGCTGCAGCTGTGGGTCCGGACTCTGCAATGCCTGTCCTGACCTTGGAAGGATTGGCTGGCTCATGGGAGAGTGACCAGGTAATTAGAAGCCACGCTCTCAAGATGGGCACTATGTTGGCGTGGCCAAGTCCCAAACATGTTGGGGTCGTCACCTTCGAAACCATCTCCAAGAATGCACGAGTGATGGATTTACTTTTGAAGCTTTGGTGTCCTCAACTCACCAGTGCCAAAACGGTCAACATTGACCAACTGCGCGCCGAGGAGAGGTTGCCAAATAGTTATGTGTTTTTACAATGACGGTCATGTTCTCCTGTTCCTATGGCCCAGCTCATGTAAATTCAAAAGAAACTGATCTAGGAACATTGACCATTTTTGATGTTGAGTCTCAGCAGCCCCCAGGTCAAAGCTTTCCGTGAACTGCTTTGCTATCTCTGTTGATGAGATCAAAGTTGATTGCGATTCAGCCTCCATTAAGGGCTTTATGACTTACCTGATGCGACGTCACAATGGATCTGTCCGCCGAGAGTTTCGATAGCGCTATAGGTTTGAATGTTTGGGGTGGGAACTGTTGAAAAACCTTGGCTGGGGGTGTGTTTCTGGCCAGCCCCAAGATTTGGCTCAGGAACCTTTGGTGAAAGGCCTCTATGACATCATGAGCGAGTACTGGGTGCCCACCAAGATTGGCAAGAGCACGGAAGAGGTAGAGCAAACCGAGGTTAATGGCAACACAGAGTCAGTGGAGGTTGCAAAGCAACATACAGGGCAAGAATGCTTGGAGGATGGGTATGGGTTTGTGCATGGTTCCATGGCTTCCCTTCTGGAAGCTCCTACAGATGGGACACCACAAGCTCGAATGGTTGAGCCTTTGACGGATTCTCAAATTCCTGTTGGTTACTATGTGGAGGGCAATGAAGCAGCAGCAAACGGTGATACTAAGCAAATTGATGAAGCCGCATCACAAAAGCCCTGTCAGACAGTGGCGCCTGAGACCTGCATCGAGGTTGAGGAGTCAGCTGTGCCAAGCACTGCTGACGATAAGGACAGCCCCTCACTCACACCTACGGAGATGGAGGTAACTCCTGACTCTGCCAAGGTTGCTGAGCCACCTGCTGTCTCCATGGCCGTGACCATACGGGATCCAATGCCTTCAGCTGGCAAGTACACACCGGAAGATGTGGCTTTTTCGGACGCCAGGATCCAAGAGCTCAAGCAACTAAACTGAGTTTTTAGATCTGTTTGCGCATTTTGTTACCCCCTGCAAGGTCCCAAGGTTAGTGATTCTCCTGTTTCCAAAGCCATTTCAAGACCTCCCAGGCAAAGGCTTCAACTTCGGAATGTCCAGACTTGTGCCCGACCGATGCACGCCCGACATGACGTGACTGTGGCGACAGATGTCCAAGACACTCTTGCTGTTCCAATGTCCCCCATTGCGAAGGAGTTCAAGGAGAACCCGCCAGTTGAGGTTCCTGTGGATCCAAAGACGCCTGTGCGCTTTGCAGATCTCCCCAAACAAGCTGATTCAGAGGAGACCCTGCATGGTGTTCCCTCAGCATTTTTCCAGGATGTGGGAGAGCCTTCTACTTCCCCGTCCATTGCGGAGCAGGGGGTGATGATGCCAAAGTCGTGCCACCGGCTGCGCCGGTTGCACCTCAGGAGAGACCAGCTGAGGTTGCTCCTGAGGAGAGACCAGCTCAGGAGGAGGAGGAGGATATGTTCCATTCAACTCAGGTGGTCTCGCGAAAAGATCAGTTCGAGGAGCGGGATGATTTGAAGCGCAAGGGTAAGGGCAAGACTGACCCTGAGGAGGGCGAGCCTGTGACCAAGAAAGAAAAAAAAACGCTGCAAAAGCGGTGGCAAAGCAGAAAGCTCAAGACAAAAAGGCAGCGGCAAAAGCTAAGGCAAAAGCTAAGAAAGAAGCAGAGAAGGCAAAGGAGATTGAAAAAAAGGCCAAAGCGAAGGCCAAGGCCCAGGACATTTTGGCCAAGGCCAAGGCAAGGGCCAAGTCACTCGAGAGTGGGAATGGTGGAGGAAGGAAGCGCAAGGCGTCGAATGCTCGCAAGGATGGCAATGGTGATGAGCCTATGGAACCTGCAGTGCCCCATGGTCTTGATCAGCCAGAGGCTGAACGCCCAGCAGCTGCAGCCAGCAGCCCAGCTGCAGGTCCAGAAGCTGAGGCATCGAGTACTGCTGCAGTGGCTGGGGATGCTTTGGATGCCAAGAAGTCATTTGCAAGGCGTTTTCGACCCTCCACAGCCGATGCGGCTTCCAGGTTTGATGCCATCAGGATGATCTTCAACAAGCATTTG